ACTTCAGCTCAAGAATGTACATTCATAAACTGGAAACAAACCAGACACATTATGGAGATGATTAAAGGCTTGGCAAGACTGACTTATGAGGCAAAACTAGAAGATTTGTATATTAATAGCTTCAACAAAATAACTAAACGAAAAATTAAAATTTGAAGGGGAAGTTGTTATTCAAGTTTTGGGTTCTTTTTGGTTTGGGTTATTTTTTGGTTGGTTGGTTGGTTTTTTTGGGGGTGTGTGATTTTTTCCCCCTCTTCACCCCCCCTCCTCTCCCCCAAGACAAGTTAGCAGCTAGATACTCCCAAAGCCTTCAAGTTTAACATGAGCAGCCAAACATTCAGCACTTCTCAAGAAACAGGCCACCTATTTAGGAGTCTAAATACAGCATCGAGAACCCAACTTTAGCAACCTGATCTTCATCTAATATTGACTGGTATGTGTATCATCTAAATGAACCATTTAAACGGTTACATTTATTAAACTGTACTAAAACTGTCATGTTGAGAATCTTAAATCCTCCGAATGGAAGCAATTGTAAGATGGAAGCAACATGACAGCAGTTTAAATTAAGTATCTAGAACTAAGTTGTAATGTACAATCTTAAAACTTATTTTGTTTTGCAATTGTTTTATTTTTGAAAACTTCAGCACATTTCAAAAAATAACTAGAAAAAGAAAAATCTGCATTTGTGAGAGATGGTACCTCACCATATAAATTTCCCAGCTGGAGAGCTATATTCAACACAGAAGAATAAAGCTCAACATTTAGGACCATGAACATTGCACGTACTGTTTGTTTGAACAAACAGGAAGGACAAATCAAGGTGAAAACCACCCAGACACGCAGTGTATTTCCTTAACTCAAGAGGGACGCAGAAACTAAATTCATATTTATAGAATGCAGTGTTTTTACTGGAATGAAAATAGTTAAACACTGAAGTGTGTAACACAGAAGTGTATTAGTAAAACATTTTAAGTTTTAGTAAGCTTATTTGCAAGATATTAAGAAACATTAAGCTTGCACTCAAACTAGGGTTAGCAGACACTGCAATTTAAAAAAAAAAAAAAAAAAAGAGAAATGGTTAATTATTTTCCTCATCCAAGGAATGTAAATGAAAAAATGAATATACAAAACACTGGTTCCTGTGCTTGCATTTTGGCCACGGAAGCATGTTTTTTGGGGTTAAAAGACAGCATCTGAGATTAGAAATATATTTTTAGCTCTGTGCCCTATATTCTTTTTTTTTTTTTTTGTACGTTAGATCAGGGAGTAAGAGAATATTCATATTCTCTAACTTCTTGATGTATAATGTAAGTCCCTAAACTGGAATCCCAGGGGCTGTATATGGTCAGTGGTGCCAGGTATGTTCTTCTAGAGAATTAGATTATCTAAATAAGGAGCCTAGATTCTCTCAAAGGAGAGAGAAATAGGCTCCTCAATTAAATGCTTAAGTTAGATGGTATGAATATCCGACAAGACTTCTAATTGCTCCTTAATGATTCTGGTACAAGACAACAATCCCTTCCCTATATAAAGTACCTATAATGGTGTAAACAGCGTGGCAGAACTTAAGACTTCTATACATAATTTTGTCTATGAAAGAATTACGATTGATGCAGTTTGTGTTATCTTAAAAACCTGAGGGAGAAAAAATAGCTTCTGACAGGGAGTCACATAAGAAAAACTTGTGTATTGGCTTAATTTGCTCATGTTTAAATCAGTGTTGCCATGATGTTTAACTACTTTTATTTAAAAAGAAAACAAAAACTCTTGAACTTTAGAAATGTCCCCTGAGAGGTGTCCTTCACAACTGCTGTAAGCAAAAGCAGCTTTCCTGCAACTAATGTGGCCACTGTGAGTTCAACTTCAAATGGGATACGTTTCAGTTTTAACTATGAAGTACAGAAAATCTGCTTTCATCCCTTTAATACCCATAATTACTTATTCAGTTACCAGTAATGACATTCATTGTCACTAGTATATTACTTTAATGCCAAGAAACATTATTTTCATCAGAATTGATGTCACTTCTATACTGGGGACCATCCATCAATGCAAACACAAAAGAATAAAGACATTTTGTGGAAGGGAAAAGCTTTGAATTTTTGTACGATTCCTGTGTGTCTTATCTTGTTTGCATCAGGTACACGTTTTACAGAAACTGGATGAGCAGCTGACACTGCTGAATGCCATCTGGACTTCACAAAAAATACACAGCATTTAAAAAAATGATAGCAGAACATTAATCATCTACAGAAAGTTAGTCAGTGAGGACACTGACTTTTCTAAACAGTTTTCATTTGTTAAGCTTGAGCTAGCTAAAGTTCGGAGGAGAGGTGCTTTGTCCACCATACAAAATGACTACTGCAGTTAAAACAAAGATGCGTGATCATATGGAAAAGTATTCTGCAAAGCTGTGAATGATGCAGCATGTACTCAACATGCATGCTAAGGTGTATTTTCCCTGTGAAAGCTTGGAAGAAATAGGTAACTTCTACACACACATAAATATTTTCGTGCAAGACTTTCCAAATTGCACAAAATTTAATTACTGCTATTTTTGAGTATCTTCTGAAATTACTACCGTATCTTTAAGAATCCTCAATCTAAATACCTCAGCCTTTTATGGAAGGAGAAAAGCACAGTACAAATTAGCAAGAGGGGTGTTTGACAGCATCGCAATTGCCAACACAAGTCCTCATGAAAAGAAGCATGAGCTCCAAGCTCTATTTAACTTTTTCATTATGACTTGCAAAATCTAACTGTCATCTCAAGGAATTAACCGTGTAACAATGGTATGATAACTGAAAAATAAGAACATTATTTCAGAGTAGCAAAGAAATTTATGGAAACATCTAGTGTTTCCACAATAGCAGCAGATAGCGCTTGCAGACCTTCAAACAGCAGTATTTTTATTGTGTTCTGCAACTCTGACTTCATACATGTAAGGGAGGTTTAAGCATAGACAGATCTACAGCATAAACATATAGGCAGACAAACATGTCTCTTTATTTGGTGTTACTTGGTGGCTCTGGTGCTCACAGGTAAGACTAACAACAATTAAGTGTGCCCACCTTCTCTCTCTGACCCTCTCTCTTCAAAAAAAAAAACCAAACCAACAAGCAACCCTAAACAGAAATATTAATGTAATTTATTATGAAGTTAAAATGCAATGATTTTTTTCTACCCTACTAGATAGGCATGATTTAGATTATAGCTGGAATGCACAAGACACTTGCTTAGACAGAAAATGAGTTCATATGTATTAGATGACTGCGTTAGAAGCTTCTGAAAGTTCAAAGTAGTAGTCATACAGACTTGTAAGGCATATTGAATGAGTAAGTATGTTCGCAACTTGTGCTTAGCTGCATATGAATTCCAGTGTATACATCACCACAGTTTCTACCTATGATGGCATCAGCATTTTTAACGCTGTTCCTTGGGCTAACATCTTCAGGAGACATTTCAGTGTTTACTTTCAACTATTTTTGGAGCCCTCCACTGCAAAGCATCACCTATCGGTAATGTTTTTCTCAACAGATCAGGTTGAATACCTAAACAATGGCACCTTTTTTCTCCATCTCTCCACCCACACAAAAACAGTTCAACTGTGATATTCCAGCTAGCAAGGCTACTTAAGGGAACGGGTCTTCACAGTATAGGCAAATCCTCTTAAGTTTTCAGGTCCAACGCATACACTTGGAGCAGAATTTAGGTATGTCCAAAAGTCACCATTAGCCTCAAGAATACTGCAAGTATCAGAGCTCACCTGGATAGCGTCGGGACATGGCCAAATGGAACTCCACCAGCAAAATGGTAAGAAAAGTTGGAACTTCAGTGGGAAATCTGGTCCCTGGGAGCACCCTTTTGCCACTAGTATAGCTACATAAGGATCAGCTTGCTAATTGATGCAAATACAGCTGTACAAACTCAAATACGGTCACGATTACAAAAAATGAAACTTTAGGTTACTCTCTGTGAAACCTAACAAAACCCAACTCCAGTAGTCTTACGTGGAGATAAACAAACATTCTAATTATTTTCTCTGCATATTATTTTTTTTTTTAACTTTTGCTGGAATGTAGTAGCTCAGTGTGAGACAAAAAACGAAGCTGGTGCAGGCATAACAAAAATTAAAGTCCATACAGAATTAATGGAATAATCTGCTTTCTATTTTAAAATGCATCATTTCTAAAATAAGTTGCCCACGCCTTTTTTGTAACAAAAAAAAAAAACAACAAAAAACCATGCAAAAACTGTGAATTGTTAGAATGGCAACAGAGACTGGGATCTAAAGAATAAAGGTCTCCACTAACAAGAAAAGTTATGACTAGATTAATATAGGCAGGAATGGGAAAAATAACATTTTATCAACAGGTAACTGAGGCTGGAGTTAAGTGACTTACCCAAAGTCACATAAGATGTCACCGACAAATTCAGGAGGTGAACTCAGATCTTTAGTTCTAAGACACATCCTCCTGTTTAACACTTCTAAATTACAGGGCTTCCAGCCAAAACATAACATAAAAATTGCTAGAATGTGGAGGAGAAAAAAAATCTCATTAACATGGAATGGCTGCCTAGAATATCAGTAAAAGATGAACACGACAAAGACTCAGAGCCATCTACAAAAGTAAGAAAACCTATGTACAAGGACGAGTGAACCAAAAAATCCTGAGTTTTAAAGGGATTTACAAGAACAGGAGCATTACCATAGGCAGAAAATACTTGGTGGATTAAACATATTTTATTCTATTGCTGCATCAGCGGCTAGAGTTTCTATCTTTCTTGACAGTCAATATTATTAATTAACTGTGAGACTCATATATTGCTGAACACTGAAGAAGTTGGGGTTAGTTGCAATTTAGGACTAAAAATAATATAGAAATACCCAATTTTCAAATCAAGTATCAGGGCTGTAACCACTGTTTAATTCTCCTTTAACGTTAATGAAGCCAAAATGCTAGACTATGAACACACCAGTTATGTACCATGCTTACCTGCAAAGGAAGGAGAGTATTACTGTTGTTGTCAGTTCGGAAAACATTATCTTCAATCCACGATTTTGGTGTCAGTGATGGAGTGGAGCGAGTAAATTTAGGAGGAGCTATGACATTACCAGAAAAGGGCTTCTTCAAAGGAGAGATCTGGTTCATAGTTCCTGGAATTCCCATGTTTCCAGTTCTACGATGGTCTCTGCCATGCATTCCTCCCCAGGATATATTTCCTGTGCTCCAGCCGCTACTCTGATTGCTCCAGGGCGACTGCTTCAGAAGAGGCTATAAAGAAAGATTCGTTCATATTATTTTGAAAATACTTGAAATGTTTTTCTGCTTAAAAAAGAAAAAAAAAAAGGCAAACCAACAAAACCCAGACCAACCAACCCCCAAGTTGTGCAGAGATTTCTATAAACCACTCTCTCCTGATAACGTGTGAATTAAATACTCAAGCAAGGAAGAAAACACAGCACCATTAAAAAAAATGTGATTCCTACATCCTCCCATACAACCCCCCAAAAAACCCACAATACTTGTGCAAGCAATTTAGATTATCATTTTCATAATTGGTAGCATGCTTTAAAGCTATGCAGTAGAACAATTTCAGGGTGTAAAACCATATTACAAAAACCCCTGAGACCATTTAATCATACATTACTTGGTATTATATAGTGAGATCTCTGCAAAAATAACAAAAGAACTTCAGAGGTAAATTTTAAAAATTATTATTAAAATAATTGTTATTCTACTAATAATTATTTCTACTCAGTCTGTAGTAGTATTTCACTACAGTGAGCAGAAATTTAAAAATTAAAATTCAGATGGCAGATTTCCCCCCCAGTATTTTGAGTATCATTGTCTCGGTATTACCATATAAGAGCAAAAAGAGCACTGATTACTGTAGAGAGAATCTGTTTGAAGGAGCTATCTTAACATTTCCACATTAAAATGCATTATTCTGAAGCCACTGCTCAAGTATTTCTGGAGTAATGAACAGGACTATCTGTGGAATTCTGCAGGGTGGAATCTGGGGGGGTAGGGTGGTGAGGATTTTTTTTTTTCCCCCCCTATTTAGACACAGCATAAAGTATTTCTGTATCTAACAAGTGCACTATATTCCTTGATATGAAAATGTAAGTAGTCTTTAGAGGGATGATTTTACTGGATGATTAAGTTTTTATTCCTAAACCACAACTCGTGCTAAAAAGTGACCTATAGAGGCTGTCATACTACCAAGAGGTGGACCCATTGAGCCTGACAGACAGTGAAGAAGAGTATTTATCTTTAGTGTTCTCAAATCTGACTGCTCTTGGAAAGGCTTTTTCTTAAACACAGAAATGGGGGTGGGGTGGATATTCTAAATTCAGTTCTTCTGTGAAGTCAAAACACAGTAATTTTAACTCAAAGCTTAGCTGCAAGCAGCCCTCAGCTTGGAATTCTAGTAACTTAAAAATTTAAAGCATGCCAGTATGTTATGTATTAGATAAAATGGAACTTTCTGAAGACAGAAAGATAAAATTATAACAATTATCCCCCCAAGAGAACAAACAAAAAAACCCCACTAAAGCCAGTTTTGGTCAAGTAATCAGGAAAACATCCCATTCTATATAATTATATATAATTATGTTGTAAAACTTGAATACTTTGGTTGGAATTTTGGGAGAGGCAGGCACTCTATTGTGAAACAAACCTTAAGAGATAATGCCAAATGTTAACAAACCTCTAATATTGCTAGCTATGCTGTCACGGCACTGTTTTAAGTTTACCCACAACTTGTGAGAGAAGATTCCTGCACACCTCACTGTCGGAGAACTGCTTTGGAATTTGTTTGAAGAGGGCTATTATAGATGTTAAGGACAACTAGCTCCTAATCATGATGCATCCAAACCAGTTCTTGGACAGGCACACCTAGTGTGAGACTCCCGTTCGGACAGAAATGCTTCACAAATCCAGTTCTACCGATCACAACTGACAGGATTTACTACTAGAATGAACGAAAAATTAAGATGAGGCCTATATAACCTCGACCTTTCATAACCGAGCAGATGATCGGCGCAAGATGTGGCCATAAGGCACGAGCAGGTATTATTAAGGTGGATCTGCTTTTCTCCGATCTCTTACAATGAGTATTTTGTTCCAGGAAGAACAGGTAAAGTTCCATTTCAACAGGGATCGTTACACCGCTCGATTAAAACCGGCAGCAGAACCACGGTAACCCTGAAACACAGCGCTGCCCTTTAGATACAAGAATTCAAGTAATGCCGGGGAAAAAAAAACAACACCACCACAAAACAACCAAAACCGAAAGGGCGACAACGCTGACAGCTTTCCCATCCGAATCTGCTTTCGGGTGAGCTGTGCCCGCCCAACCGAGGGGGCTCCGGTGCCGCCAGGGCAGGTCCGGGGCTGGGGAAGGGGCTCCCCGGGGAGGCGGTGCCGGCGGGGGCTGTCAGCCTCATTGTTCCGGGGACACCGCGCTCGCCAAGGCCGACTGCGGGGGG